GGGGTTTGGGCTACGGTGTACTTGAGGGGTCTACTTCCTAACTCCATCAAATCGACAGGGATCCATTTTGCCTGTTCACTGCCTTTAATTGAGATGAATTTTCTGACTGTATAGATCTATCTACTGTTGCTTTTGGGAAATTCATAAACAATACCACTTAGGCCCATCGTGAATCTGTAAACATATAACTAGTCTGATGCATGAGCCATTGTTGCATGAAATTGTTTACTGTTCCGTTTACAGGATAAAAAAGATGAGCTATCGCGAACATTAGCGGAATGTGGCGGAGATAACGGTGAGAACAAAACTATGGATATCGATGCAGCGATAGATGCTGCTACGCCTTTGCATCGACAAATTCTGACTAACTACGCTCAGGATTTAGCATGCGATGATGTTATATATGCTCTTGGTAAGTTAGAGATTGTCCGCTTTGCTCAATAATTGTTTTATTTTCCATCGCAATGCCCCCTATTTTGTATTTCTGCATCAGTAAGAGCTCATATGATCTAATACCCAAGCGATGTTACTGCGCTACAGTCCCGGCTTTGCGAAATCAATAGTGCAGACAGTTTTTATTATTGTCCCGGAAACATCATCCATGCGACCTTGAAATCGAGGAACGGGCTGGAAAATCAGCGAAACGTCGCGAGAAAAACTGATTGTTGCTCTTCTTGTGCAGGGGTTTGTTCTCCTTCTTTTTCTAAAATAGCTTCGCCATTGTTGGAATTTGTTTAGGGGCACCTTTACGTTTTTTTTTTCATTTCGATGTTGCTTGGTTTCAAATCTTTCTAACGACCAAGTCCTTTTTTCTTAGCATTTCAGGTGATCACCACATCGCAATTTATCTGACATGATTTCAGGTCAAGCTTTGAGGGACAAGAAGATATCTGTGCAAGAATATCTGCGTTGTGTACGAGATGTTTCACGAAAGCAATTTATTTACCGTGCAACTATGCAGAAATGTCGAAAAGCAGCGGGTCTTCCCATTTAACTACTTCTCTACTGTCTCGTCATTACAACTAATAAGTTTTCAAAAATTTTCTTTTTGTATTTGCCTTCATTTTAGTTAACCGGTTGTGAGTCTACGCGTTTCGTGTAATTCGCAATTTCTTGCATATGTACATCTTACAGTCTTTTGGCATGTGTTTGGATTTGCCTCGCAGTTTAGATGTGATTACTCAAAGGGTTTTAGACCTGCTAAATAGAAATTTCTATTCTTCTGGCATTGGTAAGGTCAGCCCTTCTTGTTCATTCTGCCATCCACTTTTTTCTCGTTTGCAATGCTTGTCTCGCCGATTTTCTTATCTACAGGGCACGTCTCCGGGGTCCCTGCTTTGTTTTGCTGTTTCTTTATCGATTACTTTACTATAAATATTTTGAATCATGAAGCCAACCGCTTGCCATGCATTTGGTCATGTCCACTTATCTCAGTTTTGTCATTTATTCTGCGTTTTTCTTTTCTATCTCTTTCTGATTGCCTTTTTACAGTTTCTATAGCTATGCAGGCTATAAAATGTGTGGTTGTGGGTGATGGTGCGGTCGGTAAGACATGTCTTTTGATTTCGTACACAACGAATGCTTTTCCTGGCGAATATATACCAACTGTGAGTCTTTTTTAGTTTTTGACTTCAGTAAAATAAGCAATCCTTTACAGGTATTCGATAATTACTCGGCCAATGTTATGGTTGATGGACGTCCGATCAATCTAGGCTTATGGGATACCGCAGGACAAGAGGATTACGACAGGTCTCCTTTTATATGCTACTTAATTTTGCTTGGTTGTTTTTGATGCCTACTCTCTTTGTTTTTGCTTGAATTCGGTCAATTGTTCAAAGCAGATCTTGCTTTACTTCCTTGCTCGATTTTCTTAAGGGTTAGACAAATTTTATTTTTATCTTGCTTTGTTTCTCGCTCGTTTTCGAGAATTTT